CCCCCCCCCAAAAAAAAAAACTAAAAAGGCAGATATTTTCTGTTAGACCCTCGGCGCATTGCCACAGTTATTGACCAAAACTTCGTAGGAAGTTTAATGTGCTATTCTGCTTTAGTTCATTACTTACCCGAAGCTAAAAGATTGGCAATTATGAATCTTTTAGCTCCATTGGTAATGGATAGAGCAGGATTGAAAGACTCATCAAAAGAAAAACAGCTGCAGCTTTGAATTACCCAAGTAGTTCATCATGAACCTTGGTTTCACATTTTTGGCATCAGGTACTGAATTCTCGTCTGATATATCAACTCTCCAGCGATCAAGCATTGTAACAGCTGCATTGTTCAAATCATGCAGAAAGGTGCCAACGCCACCTTGCCCTTCAACCATTGAAAATCCGCCTCCCCATTGTAATACCCTAGACAAATCATTTCCTGTTCCCAAAGGCAGGACAGCCACTGGAGGAGGTGACTCAAAGTTATGACGCTCAATTGCATCAAGGACCCAAGCAACGGTCCCGTCCCCACCACAAACCAAAACCCGGAAGTACTGCAAATTGCTGAAAAGGTCTAAACAAGCTTCGGGTCCTTGTGAGGAGCTGAGTTCAAAAATCTGCAACAAAAAATTAAGGAATATTAACATATGGAAAAAGGCATGAAACTTTTGAGAAGCTGAGTTCAACTCTGCAACAAGAAATCATAGAATATAAACTCATGTAGATATGGATGCAACTTTTGCTATGAGCCTATGAGCTGTTTACGTGATATTAAATATATGAAACTTTCTGGAAACAGCTTCTCTACTCTCATGTAAGGGTCTCCCCAGACCAAACTTTTGTGGGATTCTACTCGGTTAATGTGGTTGTTTCTCGGTAAGGAGACATATATAAGCTGATCAACTATATGAGTAGTTTAATAAATGATTCAGGCTTGCGCCTTGTGAAAGGAGCATCAAACATTGAGACCCCCATCAACATCCCCTCTCCAGCCCAATGGGGTTGACAGTAGCCTGATTAGAGATACCACATGTCATGGTCTAATGGTATGAAAAAAACTACAAAAATAAATAGAAATCACTAATTTTAGGGTTTTAGTGCATCATTATGAATCAGTGCATCAGGAAGTCATTGACTGGTCAACTGTAAGTACTTCATGTAGAGTTAGCATCTCAATGAATAATTGATGCAGGAGAATTAGTGCTTGCTCTTAGTACTGAAAGTGTTCTTTGGGTGTGGAGAAGACGGGAATAGAATGGGATATTCCATTCCTAAGCGGGGAAAAGAAAGTGAGACAAAGGTTAGACTCAAAGGGGCAAAGGAGTGAAAGGATATCAAGATCAAGACTTTCAAGATTCCATATTTGGCAACAACTATATTTATTTTCCTTATTTTATGCTATGTTTATTTTCCCTTATTTACTTCATGTTACTTTTGTATTTATCATGAAACAATAACAAGATAGTATCCTTTTTCCTAAATCTTGAGTTTAATAGAAAATAGAAATCCTAATCTTAGTATTATTACTTAATCACAATAGGGGTAGAAGTAATTTTCTTATTTCTACTCTTATTCAGCCAAGCCTTATTATTATTAGCTAGTCATTATAGAACAAAGGAGTCAAATTCAGCCAAAGGCTCTATATAAAGCCTTAAGGGCAATAGCATTGTCTATTTTAGTTGGTTGCAGATTTTTAATAAATTAACTCCTTTAGAAGATTCTTGGTGTTACTCTAGGAATCTTTTACAAGTTTCTTAGTGGATTCTCCTTTAAAAAACTTGTTAAAATCACCATTTATCTTCATCTATGTCCTCGTTATTGGTGTTTGGCAGTGTCTCACCATAAGGACCAAGATCCCATCTTTATTTTGTGTTTAACCTTCTGCAAATGCATTGATAATGAGAGGCATATAAATATGGAATCTCACCTGAACAGGATTCAATAGCATGTTCAGCCTTCTCCTAAGGGAATGACCATTTTGAGCTCCACTTTTCATGTTAATGAGAACTAAAAGTGGTCTTGCATCTTGAGGTAAATCTACAAGAGCATACTTCTTTGATAGGCCAGGGACAATATTTTCACGCTTCTTTGAAACCGATCCATTTTTAAACCCATTCTTATCAGAAAATTCACCACATCTATACAAATTGTTGTCCATTTTCTCACTGCTAGGATTCTTCAGAAGGGCGAGACCATTAAGCAAAAACTCAAGTGCTCTTTTAAAATGAGAAGTATCTTGCTGCTTACCCTTGGGTATGTGGTTACTACCATTCCTGTTCCGCTGACGTTTTCTTCTAATTTGACCATGAACTGAAGATGCAATCATTTTGTCTGACATTTGACTTAATTCCCCAGAATAATTTATTTCAGCTTCTATGTCTTTGACATGGAGTGGAGAAAGAATAAGCTTCCTGAGAGGACCAAGATTACAAATATCACCAGACTCTTCAGACATCTTAGCATGACATTTAACATGTATAAGTTGTTGACACCATAAGCAATGCCATGTAGGTGATACATCAAGGAAAGGAATACCACAAGGTTCATCACAATAAAAACAGAAGGAAGACATCTCAGGGCTCACGTCCAACTTAATCCATCTTTCTGACCAATGATGTTTCACATGGCTCAAACCAGCTTGTGCTACACATTTACAATCCTTCGATGCAAACTGGGAACAATTGAAATGTGCAGCGACACCACAGACAGAGCAACGATGTACTGAAGAACTTGATGCGACTTTTGTACCTAAATTTTTTGGGGACATAAAGGATGTAAGGCAAACACAACATGTGGATGGTTGCCTGCTATTGTTAGCAAAATCTTCAACCCATGTATGTTTTGACAATGGAACTTTCAGCTTTTTCCAGGCTTGCTTTTTTGCTCTAGCAGCAGCTTTAACCCAATTGAGAGATGTCTTCCGCTTCCATTTAAGAAACACATATATAACAGCATAAAGCCCACATGCAATTGTAGCCAGATATCCAAGAAGATGTGAACTGTAAGTGGAGCTGCTTAGCAGCTTCAAAAATGAAATACACAGTTCAATCATTGTGAAGCTGATCTGTCATTAGCTTCTCACTCCTTATCGATTTCTTGGAAGCACATACCATGCTACTTGATCCTGGAGCGAGTTCTGTTAATGAAACCTGTGGAAAAACTATTTTTTTATGAGAAAGAAGATGACGAAATACAAACATAATGGACAAAAAAGCCCCAATAAGGTCCCACAAGTAGAGCCTGGGACGGTTGGCGTCCACAAACCTTACGCCTACCTATAAATGTAGAGCAGTCCAGAGGTAGCAATGAATGGACAAAGCATACATAAATCTCGGCCAGTGGGAAATGAAAAGTAGCACCCCCCCCCCCCCAAAAAAAAATGGCATTTAAACACCAGAAGATGCTAAAGATGTTGAATAATAATATTAAGCATTTATATCCAAACATTCGAGTGTANAACATAATGGACAAAAAAGCCCCAATAAGGTCCCACAAGTAGAGCCTGGGACGGTTGGCGTCCACAAACCTTACGCCTACCTATAAATGTAGAGCAGTCCAGAGGTAGCAATGAATGGACAAAGCATACATAAATCTCGGCCAGTGGGAAATGAAAAGTAGCACCCCCCCCCCCCCAAAAAAAAATGGCATTTAAACACCAGAAGATGCTAAAGATGTTGAATAATAATATTAAGCATTTATATCCAAACATTCGAGTGTATCCTCGCTCATCATATATCTCTGTAGACATGTGTTAACTACAACGTATTGAATTTGTAAGTATTTAATGAAATCCTTAAATATAGGTGGTCTACACTATCCTTTTGAACACAGATAAACATAAATGAAATAGCCCTTAAGCGGACAGATGTGGAGGGAATGGAAATCCTATGTCTATGCCATATCAGGAGCGATTCATCCAAAGGTCAAAATTTGATCCAAATTGAGGTTTTTGGAGGAGAGAAACCACATATGAAATTCCGGCCTAACAATACGAGAACCAAATTCATTCTAGCACATGTTAAATAAAATGTACAGGATCGACACGCTTACATATTTAGCACCTAATCCCCAGACAATGTTCATCAAATTCAGATTCTGGAAATCATATTAACAGTCAACTTTTAAACACACAAAAAAACAATTGTAAACCACTCTTTTCTGCATCCAATAATCACCACCGCGATAACATTTCCAATCAATTGATCACGAATCTTAGAGATGAAGCTCGGAACCAGATTATAACGTGGAGCGCGCGAAAGCGAAAGAGAAAACACAAACCTGGAGAAGGCGCGATCGAGGAAGGCGCTGCAAATGAATCGCCGCGACTTTCAAAAGCGGATCGCATAAATATTGGAGAATGACGTAAAAAGACGGCGGAGGAGCATGTGAGGGGAATGGCTTCTTCCTCCCTTCCGAATTTCATAAACATCTTTCGATGCCTCCGCCTGTATATACACGGCGATGCATAAATTAAAGTCCCCCTTCCCTTATTATATGAGTATCCTCCGTTTTTTCTTTTTTTCCTTTTTATTTTCAATTTATTATTTTTAAAAGAAATCACCCAAAAATCTAAATAAGAGTAAACTAAAAAAAATTCAAAATATGAGTTCTATATTTTTATCTTCAAAATAAAAATTCACATTGTAGTAATGTGACATTATATATGAATATTTAACAATACTTTTTAGTAATGAACATGGTCATGATTGACACTATAAACGCATTGTAACTTATATTTCGAAATAAAAACATGAAACTCTTATATTAGTATATATTTTCATTATTTTACTCGTACTTTTTTCTTTTTTCTTATTTTTGATAGCCAAACTTGGTGGCTTTCTTGACACTATGACAACATGGTTATACATATCTACTAGTGTTACAATAAAATGGTGATCTAAGTTTTTTTGTAATTCTTTTTTATTTACTCTGTTTTTTAAATGCTCCTTCGTTTTAAAACTTTCTTTTCGATCAATTTACGAGGTTTGATTAAAATTATTTTTAATTCATGTTATTTGATTATAGCTGTAAAATTAGAAATTAAAAATTATATATTTAAAAACTACTTCAAAAGTTCTACAAAATAAGAGGTGACATAACTATATTACTTTATCAAATAACCAATGCAAATAGGAAAAAAAATGATTAATGTTTGATCATTTGAATAGTGTGTGGATTGAAAGTTTTTAGGACAGATAGAGTATTAGTTTCTCATAAAAATTGATTCAGAACTAGTTTAATTTCCTAAATTTTAATAAAAATATTCTGAAGTATGTAAAAGTTGATTAAAATCTAAATAGAATATATACCATTGTCCTAAAATGATTTAGCTCATTCGAACAATGTACAAAATCTCATGACTTCAAAAACAATTTTGGTAAGAAATGAGTATAGAAATAAAAAAATATTCAAAAGTTCTACAAGACAATAAAAATATTTTATTTTATCAGTTGATCAATGAAATTATGCAAATAAACAAAAGTTATGAATAAAAATTGATATTCTATGAAATTGATTTGGACAAAATTGAATTCTCCAATTCCAATTTGTTTTTGGCAGTAGCAATTTCAAACCTACATATTTGACAATATTGTACCAAACAGTAGAATTAAAATTATTCTTCCAATCCCGTCTACCAAATGGAGCAAATTTGACGATATGTCAAGTTGCCAACTTTACTTCCTCGGACAATTGTTTTCTCGAATATTTTCTCAATAATTGTCCACTCTACAGCCCACATAGAGTTTTAGTTCTCCAATTATACATGGAGCCAAATTTATTAAATAAAATTAAATTTGGTATTCTTATTTAGTAGTTTAACTAAAAGAATTAAAGTAAATGAAAACTATTCCAGAAAACTTGATGCTGTTCTACTACCCTCCTCTGGTACGAAGTTCAAATTCTATGAGGGTCCGTTTGGTACACGGAATTGATAGAATTGGAATTGAATTGGAATTAAAATTCCATGGGATTAAATTCCATAGAATTGAATTCACAAATTTCAATTCATTTTTGCACTACCAATTCCAAATCCACATAATTTATGTGCTACTAAACATGAGAATTAGAATTGAAGTCCTCAATTCCAATTCCATAGTTTGAATTCCGTGTACCAAACGGAGCCTGAGTAGTTTTGCCTTTTTTGTCTGATATAACAAAACAAGCCAATTCAATCAAGAAATTGTCAGTACGTTACCAAACGAGGCTTAAAGTTGTAGATCAAACAATATCATGTAGAGAGTGATTTAAGTAGTTCAAAACTTCCAACTTCTCCAAAACCAAGTTCAAAGTACTCACATCAACCAAAATGCAGAAACTAGGATGCCGAAATACAAGCAAGAAAGACCAAGTTATATTAAACAAAGAGATTGGGTCGGGAGGCCTTGTAGGTGGTCTTAAACTTACGACTTGGGGGCCTCAATTTCTTGAACACCAAAGGGAACTTGATTTCAGAGTTGTGGAACTGTTTGACGCTCTCTCTCTTGCAGAGAGAGTCAGGGATGGTGGCTGTCTTAATGATCTGGATGCAGTGTCGGCGGACCCTGTGACGGGAAGCCATTTCAGTATACATCTGATCCACCGCACCATTCAAGGTTGTATCACGGAACTCCTTGTACATATTGTGGTACCCTGTCCTGCTTTGGTACCTCAACCATATCCCGTAGTTCTTGATCACTGTGGGGTTCTTCTCAAAGATCTAAGGGCACATTCGCATAAAACCAGATAGAGATCAGTTAGCGAACAAACACCATGTAGTACAAATCTTGTTAAATGTAGATAACACAATGTAGCATCCAGGAATTAAGATCTTGGAGATCTCAAGTTCAAGTAAAATTGGGTCAAATTTTGTAAAATATCCAAGACTCAATGAACAGGGTAAACAAACTAAATGTGAACCCAAAACCAGAAATTACTATTCCCCTCCGCCTCACTGTTTTTGGTACATGGAGAGTGAAACAAATTTAGGAAAAGTGGAATTGTGCAATTTGTATTGGTAGAATATGAAATGGTTTGAACCATGAAAATCATTCTAAACACAGTGTGGGAGGGATTCATATTCTGGGACATGCCAAAATGGTAAAATGTAGAAATAGTGTGACAGAGAGAGTATACACTATACATTATAATTTAGAACAAAAAATAGTTAGCCAAAGGACTCAAACACTTCAGCATTTGTTGTTCCATACATCAATTAATCAATTACACATATTTGACATGCATGTAATTACCATGAAACCACATTTCATTTCAATTTCTATTACTCCTATAATTATGCAACTTATAATTTTTAAATGACAGACTTAATAATTTTTAGTCAGTTTCAGGCCCAAACAAAAAGGACCAAACTTTTTTAGGGTACCAGATTGAAGAAAGCAGCATACCCAAAACAATGAACACTCTATACCCAAAATGCCTGATGCACAAAAATACATAGAAATTGACATAAAATTCTGTTGTTTTTTCCTCCATGTAGACACATTTGAAGCATGATACTTGGAAGAAAACAAAAGTAATAAAGTGACTTAAGCGAGACTTCATAACTACGCAGTAAGATTAAGGGACAAGTATCAGAGCTTCAACATTTCTTAAATGATCAGTGAAAAGCTAAATGTGAAAGAAATTTATTAAACTTTGAATGTAATTAATCAGATGTGAATGGAGAGAATACTGATAAATCAGATGACATGAGGGCAATTATCACATTGAAATATCGTATGCTGATTCACAAACTATAGCATCAAAATCGTAGTAGAATAAACACATACCTCATTGATTGCTAGGACCTGACCATTGGACTTCTTCACCTTCTTCAGCTTCCTCAAGAAATACCTTTTTTGTACAAAGAGTAGCAGAAGATGAGGAAACATGCCATCAAAATATCGAGATATGCACTGTGTACAACTATTTATGCGCTGTCGATCTAAGTGATGAGGAATAAGGCGGGTTCATTTACCAGAATTTGGACTTGGCGCAGACCTCATTCGTGCCCCAGAGCTTCATGCGGTAGATCTTCGGGTGCTCGTCGGACTGCGACGGGAGAGCTCTTCCGACGACCTGGTACTGATGGAACTGGACCACAGAAAATACATATTGATCGTCATTTCCGCACGGGGAAACATCAAAACCGAACGGATGTATGAGATCTGAAATGAAAACGGAGCAGAAAAGCTAGAGCTTACTTTGAAGTTCACCATCTTCTCCACACGTTCTGAAGTTCTCCCTCTTCTCCCTCTCGGCGGCTGTCGTATGTGCGGAAAGAACGGTTTTGTTATAGGGCGAGGAAACCATTACTGAATTACATTAGGGTTCAAGATTGGGCCAAATTGGATTAGATTGAGCCCAAAAAACTCTAGTGGATACGTTCCTTCGTATTTGATGTTATTTTATTAATTTTAATACGGCCCACCGTTCATGTTTTTCGAGGATTACATTCAATTTGAATATCATAGTATCATCTGCGTTTAATCAAATTTTGTTGGTAAAATTAATCGTTCATGCTACTTAATTCTTCACAAAAATTTCCCATTCCTGCTCCCCACACCTACTCCACGATCACCGATTGTCTCCAGTGGTCATTTGAGAGTTTTAGAGAAGTTAGAGAGTATATGAACCATCAATTTTACCATCGAAGTTCTATTGGAGGCTCAGATCATACTATGATAATGGGTTCAATGTCACAGGAACCGCGTTGATTACACATGTTAGGTTTTTATTAGATAAATTAAGTTGAGAATTTTGACACTGAGTTTGAGTGTGAGATTTTTAAAGTTTTTCTTCCAGAATGCAAAAATCGACAATTCCACCGAGTATATAAGTATACAATGCCTCTGTCCTCACTCGACCAAGTAGGTCAAGTGATGGCGGCAATCTAGCATTGTTAAAATATCTAGCGCAATATCATAACCCTTTTCCACACGTGAGGATATCTACTAGGCACCCCAAATGGGTTTCGATATGAAACAAGGTGTTCCGAATCAAACATACCATGATACCAAGATGTTGGAGTCTCAAAAACATAGTAGTCTCGTGGTGCTTGACGCTCGTTAAAGCTAGCAGTAATCGTCAAGAATGAAAAGGCAAAAGGGCGCCATCATCGCACACGACATCAATTGAAGGCCTGATTATGGAAAACAATGTGTCTACTATGACCGCCTTTAATCAAATGCAGTTGCAGATATTTGGCTGAAACAAAAAGACGCCGAGGAGGCACTACCGCTGGAGTGCGAATGCAAGGAGCAAAAACACTACGAGGTTCTGATGTCGAGTATTAATCATTTGTCACGCGCACAACTATTCTAAAAATAAAAAATAAAATTTACTAGACTTGAAAGGAGTTATATCAAAAAAAGCGGTAAACCCCTCTACCCCGCCCCGACCCGAACACACCCTCCTACCTCTGTCAATTGTACCTCACAACTTGATTTTGACTTTGAAGTCAAATTTTGACTCCAAAGTCAAAATCAAGTTGTGGGGTGCAATTGACGGGGGTAGGAGGGTGTGTTTGGGTCGGGGTGGAGTAGGGGGGTTTACGGGAAGTTAGGGGATAAGAACCGTAAATTTTAAAAACGGACATCGGAGCGTCTCCGGGTCATCCAATAATATTGAAACCCAATGTCATATGAATGGTGTCAAAAAAAATTGAGCTAACAATGAAAATGAGTTCAGAATGAGCCTGATACATCCGATGATTTCTATCCTAACATCCTCCTCAGGTCTTCCTAAACCGCACCCAGGCAGCAGGCAGGGGAATCAGCAGTGGTTTAAGGGTTAATGAAGATGAAAAAAACTCGGGACTGAGCAGTCTGGGCGAAGCAGGGGTGAGAAGAACAAAGAAGCCGGGAAGCGAAGAAGTGCAAAAGGAGAGAAATTAGGGCAGGAAGAGCTCAAATCTCTGGGATGTGCTGTTCTGCATTTTTCATCGCTGCCAAAGCCTAAAGAAGAACGAGGACTTCATTTGGGAGGGAACTATACGGGGAATAGATACTGAAGTGACTGATATTGCTGAAGCTCACAGTTCCAATGGCTCCTGTGTTACGCGTAAAAGGTTAGCCATTCTATTTATTACTTAGTTTTTTGTTTTTGTTTTTATTTCTTGCAAATTTTGTCAGGTAGTAGGATACAATAGGTCAGCAACATTGTGCCATAAAAGGAAGGTTTTGTAGAATTAGGGAAAAGGCTCTGAAATCTTGCTCCAATTGTCATAGCCTGCACCAGTTAAAAGGTTAAATAACAGTATGCAGTAATGCAAAATATGCAGTCTCTAAGATTGCATACTTGAATTACTTAAAATAGTTAATTAATTAATTAATTAATAACTGTATTCCTTTTTTAATAGAGAGGAATAATTTTGCTAAATGCCTACACACCCCATCTGCGATCAAAGAAAATGCAGGCCTTGTTGGCTTATTTGGTGTTTTAGCAGATTACGAATATATGTTTAAAAGAATGATAACAAAACATGGCTTCTGTCTTTGCAATGTCTGGACACTGATCACATGCAGCAAGTTGTAGACTGGTAAACACAGCCATCTTGCTGCTACATGTAACTTTATAACGCTGATTGACCTGTTATCCACACTTCATGCAACAATAGAAAAAGCAAAAAACATAGAGAAGATGATTATCCACACCTGCATGAATAGAAAGGGTTTGTTGTTGTTGTTGTTGTAAGCCTGTTGTTGAAGACTTGAAGTTGTAGTTGTGACTTTGTATTTCATCACCTAACATACATTTGATATCAGTTCTTCGGAAGAAATCCGAGAGGCTTGAGCGGAAAAGGTGGCAGAAATATGTGGTGATATCAGAAAAGATTCCATCCATAGAAGATGTGTTGGACGGTGTTTATATGTCCCTACGCCCTAAGCCGAGTGATTATGAAGTTCGAAGAGCTCTGGTTTTTGTCTTCAATGAAATGGCCAAGGACATCTATGGTAATTTTCGTACTATATGGTTTTTATATCACATATTTTCTTGCATGTTGTTAAATTTATTTATTTATTTTCTATTGTTCGTTATATCCAGCTTCTTTTACACTGAAGGCTAAATCACTCTGTAAACCGCAGGAGGTTATGTAGTTGTCTTATTTAGGAGATCCAATGATTATCGTAGTTTTATATCTTCATTGTATGACAAAACTTGGGGTAAGGTTTTGTTGTCATTGTATATGGTGCTTACTTTTTTTGAAATATTGTTTCAGGCCCTGGTATCGATGCCCCTGTCGTGGAGGAGTTTGGATCTTTCTTAATGGATTTATTCACCACTAAAAGTGATCTAGATATATCTGTTAATTTTGGGAACAATGAGGTTCAGTTTTCACGCGAGAAGAAGATTCAAAAACTCAGGAAGTTTGCAAAGAAGTTATATGCACTGCAACGTACAGTATAAAGCTTGCACTTAATAGTGTTCCTGTTCTAATACATCTGTAATTCTGCTTAGTAAACAAATATATGTAGTTATTAGTTACATTATGGCTTTTTTTAGCCTACTCTTCTTGATTTGTGAATTTCTATGCTTCAGGAGAAGGGCACGTTTATGGTGTTCATCCAATAACTACTGCCAATGTGCCTATCCTTAAGGTCGTTGACCGTGGAACTAGAATTGAGTGTGATATATCAATTGAAAACAGGGATGGAGTCTTAAAGTCTAAGATAGTTCATATGATTTGTTCAATTGATGAAAGGTTTGGGAAGCTAAGCTTCCTGGTGAGTTTGCTCATTTTATTTTAAAAATGTTTCTCATTATCATCCATATGGGTCAAATATACACATGTATTTTCTGCTTCCTTAGCCCCCAAAAACCAAAACTATAAAATTAAATAGGAAATATGCATGTGCTTGGAGCTTAATAATTGATGGATTTGTCATACGATAAAGCTCTGTGGAAAGTCTTCTCTCTAAGCTATTTAATTTGCTGCCAGATTGCCAATGGCTAGGGTGCTCCAAAATCTGTTTACACATTGACCTGTATAAGTATAAGCCGGGCCGAACACAAACTAACAAATGAGTTTGAGAAGTAGACAAGAGGCAACTTTCTTTTTCAAGAAGCTCAAATCTGAATAATTAAGGACCAAAATTGTGCCAGCAATCACTAAATATTTACGTTAGCTCCTAGTATAGGCTGATTGTATACTAATTACATTGTGTCCTTGCTGTGTAACTGTGTTTGGATCTCACTATTCCCTCTCTGCAGATGAAGGCATGGGCAAAAGCACAAAACATCAACAGTTCAAAGTTCAAAACCCTTAACTCACTGTCTATAATACTTTTGGTTGCTTTTCATCTGCAGGTCTGATATTGAGCATATGTTCTTTATTTTTGAAGATGTGTGTTTTTTTCAAAATATTGTATGAAATGAAGATAAGAAGCATGCATCGGATAATACACAATCATGTTTTTGAATCAGAATCAATTATGCAATCTTGTTAATGCCTCCAAGTGGCTTTAGGGTGTGTTTGGATGGGTGGGAGGGGAAGTAAAGGGGAGGAAGGGGAGGGAAAAATGAGCCCTTTCCTTTGTTGGTTAAAAAAAATTGGAAGAGAGGGAACCTAAAATTTTCACTCCGAATCCCTCCCCTCCCCTCCAAATTGGATGGATTGGCTCTCCTTCTTCCTGTCTTCTTCATCTACCAGCCTATTTTTCCTCTTCTTTATTTCTCTCTCTATATCTGTCTGCTTAATATCTTCTTTTCCTCTTCCTCCAACTCCTCTCTTTTTTCTGTTCTTCTTCCTCTCCTTGTTTTCCCCTCTCTCTTTGCCCGTGTTTCCCATCTTTCAGATCCGACTATCAGGTCATTATTTTCTCTGCACCTAGGAGTCCTAAGGGGGACTGTTATTGACTTGATTCAGTTCTCTCCTGTGTAATTTATGAGGCAAAAAGATGGTTCTAAATAAGCACAGATTATTTCCCAAATAAAATAAGTTGCTTTGCTATTTTTTGTTGTTGACAAATTGCTTTTTTTAATATAAGATTGCTTTTTTTAATATAAAAAACTTTGTAGGATGAGAATATGGAAATTGAGAGAAGAATGGTTTGAGTAGGTAAAAATGGAAATGACGATGGAATGGAGACTTTTCTTCCCCTCCTCCAACCAAACAAGGGGAAGGAAAACCCTCCCCTTCCTTTCCCATCCCCTTCCATCCCTCTCCTCCCTTCCCCTCCCCTCCAACCAAACAGGCCCTTAACGCTTTTGTGGAGATATTGTTGTCTCCATAATTCGTATACTGTCATTGCTATAGTTTTCTTCAACTCATTTGAGTTATCTCTTCTGGATTTTCTCAAGGCATTTGTTATATTTTTTGAAGAGCACCTAATGTGAATTGCTCTATGTTACTGAGTTATTACAAAGAATGAGAAAATTATATTGTTCAAAAGCAAATTATTTAACTTTATCCTATTTATAACACATTCTATTCTTTTAAGTGCTATTGCTTTCTTTCACTAAACTTAGAAGATGAAATTTAATTAAATACCAATGTACTAGTATTGATGCCATTACATTTTTATTTTCTAAATGGTTAATGAATTTAGTTTCTTACTCATTCACTCTTCGCCTTTTCTTTGACAAAACATGCAGACCCGAAATCCTCCTATTTTGCCACCTTTTTCTGCCATATACAAAGGTAATAGCTATGACCTCTCACCATAGTGTTAAAATATGTTGGTCACAGCACTAAATGAATTCTGCTAAGAACCATTTGGATATAACCTCTTTCGATTTTATCGGTCTTTGCTTATGTGATCATGCCATACTGAATATTTGATTAGGAATGAGTTTAGAACTACGATCACTCTACTAATAAGTGAGCAGTCATTGAATTCTATAAAAAGTATATTCCCATTCTTTTCAACAGTAAACTTCTAGACAGAAGAGAAATATTTGTATTTTAGAAGAGTACTTGTAAAAATAAATAAATTCAAAACATTTTGGTGCCTCTGTAAACAAATACACCAACAATGTTTTATCATGGATTTATGATTCCTTTCTAGCTGCCATGTTAGGTTAAAATGTGTCTTGGAAGATTTTTGAACCTGAGCTTGTGTTAAGCTGAACATCCTTATTTTCACATAATAGTTCCTTTACATGTTTGGCTCTATTTACTTTTCTTGTGCAATGGAATGTCTTGAATAACTTTGTCATTTTCTCAAATTGGTATGTTAGATGGAGCTGACCTCGCAGCAGTTGAAAAGTTAGTGCATAACCTTGCAAATTATGGAAAGAGCAATAAAGAATCAGTCGCTGAATTGTTCATGACCCTTTTAAACAAGGTTGAGCTAACATCCTTCATACCATTAAATTGCTACACCTAGAAATTGTTTGGATTGATATTGGGAGGAAAGAAGTGGGGGAGAATAATGGTTTTGGTTGCTTGTACAAAGAGAGAAGTTGGAGGGAAACAAACATTGGTTGGATTCACTTAAAAAAATTTATCCACATATGGTGAGATTTTAGAGGAGACATGGAAGAGAAAATTGGGCCACCAAAACATAAGACGACTCATCATGACCAATCATTATCAGCTTAATTCCAACTACTTGGGGTAGGTGGCACTTCATATATAGTTCCAATTGATTTCATAAAAGTAATTTACACTAAAAATTCATGCTAAAGGCATAATGGCCATGTTTTATTTCTGATCCACTTCCTGTCACAACCTCCATAAGGAGGAATGTTGAGATGAAAGTTATAAATTGTCATCGTAAGTCATTTCCACATGCATTGGAAACAAAAAGCCATATCTACCCTTTTATTATATACTGTTTAAACATGTTATTAGTGATAAATATGTTTTTACACCATCCACTTATTTTTCTATCCCTTGGATTCCCTTCTATTTTCTCAGTAGAAACTAGAAACAACTTAAATATCTATCCATTTCTACTCATTTTCTATCCTACATCTTTCATCCGCACTTTAATTTTTCATCCAAACAGTGTTAAGTTTTATTTATTTTTTAATTTGTATGTTGCATTATCATCTTCATTGCAGTTATTGGCAGTGGAGAATCTCTGGTGCAAGGGAATCTGTGCGAGCACTTATGAAGGATCTTGGTTATCAAAAACATGGGACTTTAAAGTTGCCTGTATTAGTGTAATTATACTTAGCTTATTCAGTTTTCCCATTCATATGCTCTTTGGAGGCACTGTTTTTATGGTAATAAGTTCTTCTCTTCAGGTTGAGGATTTCACTGACCGGTCTCAAAATGTTGCAAGGGCAGTTGGAGTGAAAGAAGTGAAAAAGATATATAAGTGCATTCATAACTCAAGCCAACACATTTCTGCTTTCATGGAGGGCAAAATTGAGGGGTCTACTCTAAAAGAATATCTGTTTGGCCGAAGTGGTCTGTCCACTTCAGCGAAGGGAGAGGGGACTAAAAATGCCAATAAAAATGGGAGAAGACATAACAAGGAGGTGGCTGTTAAAGAAAGCCAGCAAACGATTCCCCCTAAACCTGCTTTGGCTGGATGGGATAGTTCTCCATCAGGAAATTTGGGACCATCAGCTGCAAAAGTTTGGGGCGATTCCACATCTGGAAGTTGGGAAAAATCAGTGCTTGACCGTTGGGGAGGATCAACAACATCTGAAAGTTCAGAGAAACCGACTGCCAAGGGTTGGGGAGGATCAACAACACCAGAAAGTTGGGGTAAATCAACAGTGGATGTTTGGGGAGGATCAACAACATCAGGAAATTTAGAGAAGCCAACTGTCAAAGGATGGGGAGTATCAACAACATCTGGAAATTCAGAGAATTTGATTTTAGAGAAAACGAGTGCCAAAGGTTGGGAAGGATCAACAACATCAAGAAGTTGGGGAAAATCAACGGTGGGTGTTTGGGGAGGATCAACTTCATGGAGTATAGAGAAACTGAATGCCAATGGTTGGGGAGGATCCCATTCACAAAGTTGGGGAAAACCAGTGACTGGTGTTTGGGGAGGATCCCAAACACAAGATTGTGGAAAACCAGCGGCTGATGTTTGGGGAGGATCGCATTCAAAAAGTTGGGGAAAACCAGCATATGATGTTTGGGGAGGATCGTCAACATTTGGAAGATCAGAGAAGCCGACTGCCAACGGTTGGAGAGGATCACAGTCAACAAGTTGGGGAAAACCATCATTAAATGCTTGGGGGGGATCAACATCAGAAAGTTTGGAAAAACAAACTGCCAAAGGTTGGGAAGGATCTCTATCAAGAAGTTGGGGAAAAGCAACGGTGAATGGTTGGGGAGGATCAACAACTTCAGGAAGTTTAGAGAAACAGACTGCCAAAGGTTGGGTAGGATCACAATCAACAAGTTGGGGGAAACCAACTGTAGATGTTGGAGGAGGATCAATAACATCAGGAAGTTTAGAGCAATCGAGTTTAGAGAAGCCTGCTACAAGTGGTTGGGAAGGATCACAGTCCAAAAGTTTGGGAAAACCAGTAGTAAATGTTTGGGGGGAATCGGCACCAGGAAATTCAGAGAAGCCTACTGCCAAAGGCTGGGGAGGATCACAATCAAGAAGTTGGGAAAAGCCAGTAGTGAATGTTTGGAGAGGTTCAACATCAGGAAGTTTAGAGAAACCGACTGCCAAAAGTTGGCGAGGATCAACTTCAGAAAGTTTAGGCAAACCAACCGCCAAAGATTGTGGAGGATCAAAATCAAGAAACTGGGGAAAACCAAAGGTGACTACCAGAAGTTGGGGAAATTGGGGAGGATCAACATCAGAAAGTTCAGAGAAACCAACTGGCAAAGGGTGCGGAAGACCACAATCAAGAAGCCAGGGAAAACCAACAGTAGATGGTTGGAGAGGATCAACAGCATCAGGAAGTTCAGAGAAACTGACTGCCAAGGGTTGGGGAGGATCGCAACCAACAAGTTGGGAAAACCCAGCTGTGGATGTTGGGGGAGGATCAACAACATCAGGGAGTTTAGGGAAACAAACGGTCAAAGGTTGGGAAGGATCAAAATCAATAAGTTGGGAAAAGCCAACGGTGGATGTTGGGGGAGGATCGCAACCAACAAGTTGGGAAAAACCAGCTGTGGATGTTGGGGGAGGATCAACAACATCAGGGAGTTTAGGGAAACAAACGGTCAAAGGTTGGGAAGGATCAAAATCAATAAGTTGGGAAAAGACGACGGTGGATGCTGGGGGAGGATCACAACCAACAAGTTGGGAAAAAGTAACAGTCGATGTTCGGGGAGGATCAACAACATCACGAAGTTTAGAGAAACCAGCTACCAATGGCTGGGGAGGATCAATAGCATCAGTAAGTTTAGAGAAACGTGCTACCAATGGTTGGGGAGGATCAACCCCAACTGTGGGTTTCTGGAGAGGAACAGCATCGTCAGAAGGTTCAAGAAAATCACTCTTCACGAAGAGGAAGTGGTCTGATGAGAACATGGGAGAAACATCCACTGGAAAGTTGGGCACAGCTCCAACGAATGGCTGGACAGGAGGTAAGCAGCCTACACAATTTAAGCCAATGAAAAGGTCGAAACATTATAATGGTAATTGGGGAGGCAAAAATGCGGGAGGATGGGAAATGGCTTCGCCGCAACCTGCTGATAATGATGTGGGTTGGGGTAAATGGGGTGGAACATAGATTCAGTGCTCCCAAGAAAGTTGCTTTTGTCATTAGAATTCGCGGAATCAGCTTTTCTTCTGCTGAGGAAGTACTTGGTAGCATAACAGCCAATCTTTTTGCAAGATTTTCATTGGCTAGTGCACAAATTGTGTTAGACAGTCCTCTGCAGTCTTTCATGGTTAGCAGATCCATGTAAGTTAATGGTTTCTGTATTCGGGTTTCATTCCTTGCAGTTCTGGTTTTCATTACTTGAATGGCGGTCTCTCCTTTTGTTGTTATGCAGTCAATTTGAGTGTCAAGCACGGTATTAGGGGAGAACTTGGGTTGTGTGTTTTGTCAATTGCAAAATGCAAAGGGGAAACATTATGTAAATTTAATTACAATAAGTTTCCATTGTAATGTTTGGTTTTTGTCGGAAGAATAGCTGCGGTTAGCGGTTACTATCCTGAGTTCTTCAATTTTTTTTTGTTTTGTTACGTAAATGACTTCTTGGCTAATGCCAAAGGTGTCATTGTGGAAGGATTTAATGCGTCATCAGAAATTACCATCGTTTTCAAAACTAAATTAGTGGCCTAATTGATTTTAGAGATTCACTAGTTGAATCAATGACTCAAGTGAAAATGTGAAATATGCACTACTGTAAGCGTGCGTGCATTGCGATTGTACCATTTTGTAAGAAAATGATATAATCTGAGTTTTGGAATCTAAAAAAAGTATAGAAATCACCCCTAATAGGACTAAAACATTGTGCTTATCCCTAAAATAGGAGTTCATGTTTTTTATCCCCCAACTAGGACCTCTCCCGCCACATTCTTTCTTTCTCTCCCGATTTTGCCCTCCTTTTCCTTTCCGTGTCACACTTCACAATCTGCCCCGTCTACATTACAACTCTTTGTAATACACATTACCACATGACATACTGTGACACTTTACATTACAATGGTTCGTAATATTCATCACCACATTACAGATTATGACACTGGTAANGCTGTGTATAGTGCCACAAATTGGCATATACATGACCAACTTTAGGGACTCTTATAATTGGTTGTACGTGTAATTGTGTAAATGAGAAAACTAAAATTTCATATTGTAAATGGCCACCTTATATCAACAATAATGCAACATTTAACTTTAATAGTGATATATTTATTTTATGTTTGGTAGTTAAAGACTTGCGGCAGAGATGAGAGGAAGGGTAGGGTATTTTGGGGATGACCATGCAAACTAAGTCCTATTTGGGGAATTTATGTTTTGGACTCCTATTTAGGTATATTTAATATGTTTTAGTCTTATTTAGGTTTTTTTCCCAAAAAAGTATATGAGTTATGAGATTTAAATTGATAGTGATAAGTGATAGGAGGAGGCAACTGACAACGGGAGTGGTCGGTAGTGGGTGGCGGTGACGGTGGATGGTGATCAACGGTTGAGCGCGCACACACACACACACAAAACAAAGTACATAAAAAAGTTAAGTTATTCGATTTAGTTTCTGAGTGAAAACCAAAATAGAACCCAATCAATAACGATTTTATTCATTTTTTTACATTCGGTTTCAATATTTTTGGTTTGGTTATAATTCACACATTCTTTTGCTAAATCTATATGGAGTATATTTTATATAAAAAAAATGCACAAATGTATTCTTAATATATAAAAACAAGAAAAGACAAATCATAAGGGGTGGATTTAGCCAAAAGATGATTCAATTTGAGAATACCTTAAAAAATATAGAAAACTAAATTAAATACTTGCCTTCCTCTTAAAACTTTTTTTCAATATACTATTCACATAGTTAAATTTTAATTTTTTTATTTATTTTTATTAGTCATTTAATAAAATAATATAATCATGTCACTTCTTGTTTTGTAGAAATTTTTAAATATAATTATTTTACATCTATAATCAAATAAATTAAATTTTAAAAAAAATCAATCAATCCTCAATTAATCAAAAGGGAAACAATATTGAGAGAGAGAGAGATAGAGGGGTAGGGAGTAAATAATTATGAGGCGAGAGAGAGTAATTGATTTGAGATGGTCAAAGAAATTTCCTAAAAACGAACCCCCAAAACCAAAACCTTCCATTTAATGACAGCACCCTTTTTTACACGCTATAGAGAGAGAGAGAGAGAGAGAGCACTCCCAGATTTGGCCGCCCTGTTCATTCCTCTCCAACAATGGCGGCCGAGAAGCAGCAGAGACAAATTAAGGAGGAGAGGGCCAAGAAATTGCAGTACGAGAAGAGAAAATCCACTCTTCTGAAAGGAGGCAAAGAACTGTCCATACTCTGCGGCATCAATGTCTGCCTCGTCGTCCTCTCCCCCGACGGCAAGCTGGAGACTTGGCCGGAGAATCTCTACGACGTCAGGGCCGCCTTCCGCCATGCCGCCGGGTCCAACAAGCGCCCCCGCTCCGACGATTACAGAATGCGCCGCCGCAGTCCCTCCCAAGTCGGAATTGATGTCGAGGATGATGATGCCAAGAAGGCCAACAAGAAGATGAAGGCGAACAATTCTGCAGGGGTTCTTGAGATGGGCAAGAAAACAGAGGAGGATCATCATCAGCTTCCTCTTTTTAATTGTTGCGGTAATTATTATCAAGGGTTTCCCGCGTCAGGCGAATGGAATCACAGTTTTGCAGCGGGAATCGGGAATTACGAGAATCAAATTCATCATCATCATCATCATCATCATCATCATCAAGGTTGTAGTGTTAGCTGTGCGGCATTGTATGGGAGTGGGATTGATGATGAATTTGTTGTTGGTGATCCAAGTTGCAGAAGCAGCAGAATTATCAGCAGCTATGGAGGTGGTGGGTATTCATCATCATATGGTCAATATGGATATGAGATTCAAAATCTTCATAATAATAATACTCCCTCCGTCCCAAATTATTTGCCACATTTGTATTTCCGAGGCAAAATATCAAGTTTTTTCAATTCATTTTATTTACATATTTGTATAAAAATAAAAAATAAAATTTGCAAATAAAAAAACTACATGAAAAGTTCTTCGAAATAAGAGGTGTCAAGAATATTTTATTTTATCAAATAACCAATGAAAACGTCGAAATAAACAAAAGTTCCCGCGACTGCTGAAAAAGCAAATGTGGTGAATATTTAGGGACGGAGGGAGTAATAATCATCTTCATGAGTGGAATAATAATGATGATTATGCTTCTGGGGCAGCCATGTTTGATCCTCTGTGTGTACAGCCGCTGCAGAGCATTTTGGGAGGAGATTTCCAGTTCGGGAATTATATGTGATCAGTATGTTATATATTTTCATTACTATCAGTATATATTAGCCTTAATTACTACTTAAGAGTTTGATGGTCATTAATCAATGCATGGTAGTTCGTTCCAGAACTTTGTTAGTTAAATTAAACCCAGTAGACATTATATTGATGACAAACATATATTAGTTGAAGCAATTAGTTCGTTCCAATTTGTGTTTTGATCTTGTTTGCCATTGTCTCAATCTGCTTTTAATTTGAAGCAAATAATTGATCAATCTTCTACAAGTCTTCTAGTAAAGTAGGTGTTAATTACAATAACATATCGATTTTAACATATCAATTTTTGTCAAAATGTTACGCATTTTGACTATTAATAAAAATAGTGTAATTTTTTATATCATTCTTGCATTAATACTCTGTATATAAGACCAACGTAACTCTACTATCTTATAATCAATCAAAATAACCAATCGCCAGGTAATGACAAGGAAATTATAAATGGAGATTTGTCATTTGAAATCTCAAAATATATATGCCACACAAAAAATTACAAAGTAACCATTTTTATTATAAGAAATTATTAAAAGGATCCTTTGAATTGGATCAATAAACTTGAATCGGCTCCCTTGTTGATAGTCAAACCAATAATATTTTGTCACTCTTCCAATAATGCTCGAGTCACTTAGCACGAGTCGCTGAAAATCAAACCAAATTTAAGTTATTACTTTGTATTAGCTAGTAATAAAAGAGTATAATTTTTAATCAATTTAATATCAAAATTTATACGGAGTACAATTTAATTAAAGAAATCAAAGAACACGCAGACCAAATATATACCTTTGGTACCAAATTTTAACCCTTCCATAGTTGCGCATGACATCACCTTGACCTGGCTTTTCCATGTATCCAAAAGCTAATCCGCCCAAGTCAAACCAAACTGGTTCATTGTTGCATGCACCCGGACATTCATTTGTTATATGAATTTTTATGGGTTGTCCTGAACACGCTGGGTTGTCAGTACATTTTACCTGCAACGATAATATTCAAGTGACATACATATACATGTCAAATGTAAGTGACATTAGTATTCTGTGCAAAATTAATATGTTAACTAATCAAATTAATTAATTATAGTTAAATTGAAAGTTAGTATAATAATATATGTACGTACCAGGTAACAACTTCCACACCCTTTTCCACTTTGATAGAGAGCTTGATTTCCCGCAGCTATCATGGAATTGTATGGTGGATTGCCAACATTCCCAAATCCACATGCTCCCGTATCTACAAACAAAAATGTGTGTGAATATATATCACGACCAAGCTAAGAAGGATAATTAATATAATTAAATGATTAGAAAAACAATTAGTTAATGGAAATTTTTAATATAAACCATAATATATAGCATAGTATAAAATACTTACATACCAGTTCCATGGCCATTTGCTGGATCGTACCATGTTGCGATGGCTGGTTGAAAATCATTTGTAGTTATATTATAAGTTAGATTTTGACAAGAACAAACCGTGAAGAGAAGGGAGAAAACTACAAGGATTGCACATTGTATCAATGCCATTATATTAATTATGTGGTGTGCACACGTAGTGTCTCCTTTGAAATATTTTAATTACTTTGATGGATAAAACGATGTTGGGTTTAAACTCCTTTTATATGCAATAAAATATGGCCACCGACCCTATATGAGATATATATGGTGATTAGTTTATATTCAATTATATTCAAGTTTTGATTAGTGACTTTAAATAAATTTCCATGCATATATTAATTGGTTGGTAGACTCTCATTCTTCTATTTCAAGATGAAAGTTGCGTAAATTGGTTGATGATTTATATATAATAGAAAAACTACTTTTGAATTTATTTGGACACGGCCTGATAATCTGATATAATTCTACTCTAGTCTATTTTTGCAGAATACACAAACAATTGTTCTCTGTTATTATAGAGATCGAGTATTATTTTTAATATAGTATATTTTTTTCAAATGCAAAAAATATTAATTTTATAATATTTTTTAATCAAGGATACGGTACATTTGTCTCAATATTTAATTATATGTCCTATTTAAGTTAAAAAATATAGTACTCCATTCTAGAGATATTGAAACTCATTTATTCATGTTGTGGTCTTCCTCCACTGGTACAAAAAAAAAAGGCAAATCAACTAATCCATTTGCATCAGTTTTACAGAAAATCGATGCAAATGGGGTCATTAATTTTACCAACTGGATGTAAACAGTGAAACCACCAATTAAATCACAACTTTTTGCATCGGTTGTCAACCGATTTAAAAAGGTAAAAATAACTGATTTAAAAAGTTCCTTCTGTAGTAGTGCTTCCAATTTGAAATGGGGTAGGAATAAATGGACTTAACACAAGACACTTGGTTGAACTATACTTAAAAAATGAATCCATTCAATATTATGAGATAAGATACTTGAGAAGGGGATGGGATGGAGAACAATAATCAATAGAAGAGTGGAATGAAGAGTGGCTAAACTTGGTTAAAGCAAACCAAGATTAAAAAAAACTATTGTTAAAAATACAAGACTTATTATTATTAAGAATATATGATATAAGAATACATATTATTCGTGTGGGTTCTCTCAAAAGAAACAACCAAAAAAAACCCCTTGAAACTAAAAATACAACACTCCGCACTCAATTGAAATCCCACCTGGGAAGATCTATGGTGGACAAAGGGAGTATAATATTACTACAGTTTGTAAATTACTCCATAAATTTTTATATACATAAAATGATTTGAAAATTATACTTTAGTCAAACATTGTATTTCGTAAAGCATAATGAAAAGATTATTGTTGGATATATGGAAGGATTAATAATAATGCGCCCTAAAAATATGTTCCCTAATTGTGATTCCTTTATCATACCATTGCAATTTGTAAGCTTATCTTTACGTCAGGGTGGTGAAGATATACTGACCTAGACCGAGAGCCTAATTAATTTGTAATGAGATTTTTATGGTTTACACTAACAAAAAATTTTAGTGAGGTGAAAAAATTTTACATTAACATTTTGTGCTTGTGTGAACCATCAAAGTATTGATGCACACTTGTGGATTATCATTTGGTGTACAACCCTTAGCTTACAAGTAGCTTTATTCATAATTTAAGGCCAAATAGCTCTGATACCTCCTTAAAGTTCAGACAATGGGCACCAATACTTCGTTTATTTTCAAAATTTGTTTAAAAAATTATGTGGTTTCCAACCTCCTGTAGATATTTTCGAACCGGATATGAATCTGACCTAACCAACCCGTTAACGTAAAAGTTTCTCAAAGTTAACTTGTTTAATATAAGATAATGTTATACTCCCTCCGTTCCAATTCAAATCGTTTGTTTCGATTTATAATATTTGATTAAAATTATTTGCAAATTATTTTATATAAAAAATGGCGTAGAAATAAGAAATAAAAATTACACATTTAAAAATTACATCAAAGATATACAAAATTTGTGGTGACATGACTATATTATTTTTTCAAATGACTAACAAAAATTAAAAAAATAAATTAAATTTGATCATGTGAATTGTAAACAGAAAATATAATTTTGGAACGGAGGGAGTTAAAATAAGGTGACAATCGAAGAAAATGGTTACAAAAGAAGCACTGGGATAAGTAAGTGATTTCTAAAATTTTAGGAGTAATAAAAAAACACATTGAAGAATTATGATTTTCATTGATCAAAAGAGTTGTGATTACATGTATATATATAAGAGGAGTCTCAATCCTAAACAAGGTAGGAGAGACACAAGTAAGGAAACCTATACAAATTAGGTAAGGGAATAATACAATATATTAAATATATACAATATATTTAACATGCTCCCGGCTACGTCGGATGTGGAGGAGGTCTGATTCCCAAGCTTTGTCTGAAGTCCAGAAATAATAAAGAAGGCAGTCCCTTAGTGAAGATGTCGGCATACTGCGAAGACGAGGGAACGTGGAGGACGCGCACATGACCAAGTGCTACTTTGTCACGGACAAAGTGAATATCAACTTCCACGTGCTTGGTGCGCTGGTGCTGCACAGGATTTGTTGAGAGATACACAGCACTGACGTTGTCACAAAAAACAAGGGTGGCTCGCCGAAGGGGTTGCTGCAGCTCAAGAAGTAGATTCCGGATCCAGCTCGTTTCTGTGACGGCGTTGGCCACGGTGTGATACTCGGCTTCGG